ATTAAAACTTGTGGACTAGGTCACTAGTGCTCTAGGTGAAAATGGGATAAAGTGACTATTTCCCCTAAAACGGCTGTGTCATAGCCATGATTTTTCTCTCAGCATTTCTTGATATCTGAGTTCTCTCCATTTCTTTATTCTCTCTCTGACACCACAGTCTTGGCTGCAATAAATTGTGAAGCAACACACCAATAAAAGTCACTTAGGTCTACTGGAAAACTATTAACCAATGAACTTTCTAAGGTTTCATCATGGAAGGGTTGGGTCTAGAGCATGTATGCTATCTCACTGGATCATACTGCCCAGTTCTAATCATCTTGAGCAATGGAGGAGAGTCACTGGACTTGGCACTTGGTAACCACGCAATAAACAGTAGTAGGAAGCTGGTAAGAGTAGAGTCCAGCATGAGCAAGCAAGTCAGGACAGTGTGAAGGGAGTCTCAGGAAGAAAAGTGACCCAAAATGGCTGGAGGGAAGAGGACGGTCTAGGGAGAAGGAATGAGTGTGGACAAGTGGACCTGAGTCCACCCAGGGAGTCCTGAAGGCAAGGCGGTAGAGAGTGGATATTTTTTCTGGATCCTAGCAAGCTGATGACCAAGGTGCTAGAAGTGGCCGTGGGTGCAGTACTGGGGGCAACTTCTGCAGTGACAGAGGGATGGTTAGGGATTGGAGTTCTGTGGGCTGTGGTATTGAAAAAGGACCATGGCAGCAGGGTCTGAGAGACAGGGGTAGAATCGTCTAGATTCAGCACTTGCTTGCATGTGGGGACGAGGACAAAGGGGGAAGGGAAGCCATATCTGTGTGAAGCATTTACCATGTGTTTCTCTCCGCACAGCCATGGACTGGCATCTAAGCGACAGTGACTCCTGAGTGGAAACCCTTCCTACAAGAATATCACAGGGCCAGCCTGTGGTGCAGGGTTCAGATGCCTGGAGACCAGAAGGCTGACTGTGCGGGTTGAGTCCTGGAACAGGTGCCTTGAAAAACACACTGGACTCATATGTGTGCATGCCCAAATCCCAAGAGTAGAATATATAGTCCAAGGGAATGTGGCACAGCCATTCCTCTATGGATCTTTGTCTCCTTTCTTTCTTTCTTTCTTTCTTTCTTTCTTTCTTTCTTTCTTTCTTTCTTTCTTTCTTTCTTTCTTTCTTTCTTTCTTTCTTTCTTTCTT